TATTTTTTTGCTGTTGCTACTTCCTGCACACTCATATGGTACCACTTGTCAGTGAGGGAGGCCCACTCTGAAGTAAACCCTACATTATCCCCCTTTTTGACTCTAACTAAAGAAAGCTGAGGGTCATTTCCCCATAGACCTCTATACAAACAGACTTTGTACACCTCAGTAAGTCACTTCCTGCTGGCCAGGTTTAAAGCACTTCTGCATCAGCTTGATTTTTGACACCTGATTTGTGTTATTTACAATCCTTGCACCTGTTACATACTCACATGTGACGAGTATGGAAGCCCCAGAAGCCTCCCATTCAGATTTTCAGCTGGCCAAAAGAAAGATCACTTGAAGGAAAGTAGAAGAGAGCTGAGCATCTTGTCTCTGATGGTGCATTAACTGCACTAATGCTCGAAATAAGACAAATAAGAACTATCTTTAACTGTGACTCTGCTGTAGAAAAAGTCTGAGAATAAAAGTATGTAATTTTCAATTAATATAAGTATTTGTTAGAGAATAAATATTGACAAACACCTGCTTAGAAAATATTGTTTATCTGAAGGAAGATGAAAACTCTTGTGTGATCTTCTGACTGCTTGCGTGTCCATAAATCTTTATCATGGAATCAAACTTTAGATGAGGTGTCCCCTGAGATCTATTTTATTACCTGCACATCTTTTCTCTCTATAACGCCTTTTTGTGTATAAGGTGATATGATGGAGGTTAATGAGACTGTAGCTGTGACTAAAATACCAAAGAGGGAATAAATATATAAAACCGTGACGGTGAGTTGAGCTTGCAGGTGAGATTTAGTGGCTGTGTGCTGAATGCCTCGAGTCAAATCCTCGAGACTAAAACAAGGAGCGTTTCCCACACGGTTTACCTATGGTCTCATTTTTATTTCTGATGTTTCTTTGAAAACTGGTCTCTAACCACACTCGGGGAGTGTGAGGAATAAAAAGCCTTTAGCTGTGGAGAAGAAGCGAGATAAACAGGTGAGCAGAGTGTGGGAACTTTCAGATATGGATTTGAATTGAAGGGCTCCTTTCTTTGACTGCAGAAGATGTACTGTTGCGTGCTTGAGACGGAGATGAGAGGAAGACTTATGGAGACACAGAGAAAGAGGCGAGAAGGTCTGATAAAGTTAAATTTATTGAGGCTGTGTATTCCCATCAGTCATTACTGTCATCTCCAGTTGGATTAAACTTTAGTTTATGGGATGCCGGTGCAGAAAAGGAACCTCCGATTATTTTTTCTTTTCTCTGATCACGGGACTTTGATTCAGTTGTGATACATACGTATGAAGCAGCACCCACAGCATAGTAATCCTCCACAGTGTGTGATCTTCATCCCCTCGCAGCTCCGGTGGGTCAGCGTGTTGATGTAGTTCTCATTATTTTCCTCCCAGCTGTGTACGAACAGTCCTGCGAGGCATACAAACACAACGGCAACACGTCAGGACATTTTTACATTGACGTGGATGGCAGCGGACCGATCAAACCACAGCTGGTCTACTGCAACATGACAGGTGACACACACAGACTCACACATGCTTTTACACCTCGCCTGCCTCCCATCATCACTGAACCTTTTTTTATGATTGAGATGATTACATAACTTTAAATGATGTCCCCGCTTATCACACCCAGACCCACATTATTGTCCACCTCTTTTTTTATTTCATTATAGACTTCAATCACTCCCTCTCCCCCTGTTTCTCTTTCACTCAATCTTTCATGCCCTTTGTGTAATCATATAAATGAACTATGATAACGTTCTTTACCTTTCTCTGAATCACATGTTTACTTAGTTTTTTGTTTTTACTTTTCTATCTTTGTCCAACTCATTGACGGAAAGTGAAAATTTACCGCCTAGATCAGTCACTAGAATAGGAGTAACACACTAACTTAACATGCATGTGTTTGGAAGCAGCATGAAAAACATGAAAAATCCACACACAGAGTGAGCTGAGCTGAAATCACCCACTCATAAAATGAAAAAAAAGTATTACTTTTTATGTTTCGTCAATTATAGCGTTAGACATAAACATTAAGAAACAAGGTCAAACATTTACTATTGAAGAACTGGGAAATTTATAGCAATCAATAGCACTGATAACCATTGTACCTTCATGTCACCACTTTACATTTATACATCAAATATACATTAAAAAACAAAACATAACTGCAAAACTTAGCCGATGAATCAGCTGGCTGGTTTGCAGAAGATCAAATGACCATTAAATACTTTAGATCAACTATTTGGATAATTGATCTGTTCCTGTTTCTTCCAGTAAAACATTCCCAAGCTCCAGCTTCTAAAATTTGACATTTTACTTTTTTTCATGTAGCATCAAAAGGGCAGTTATTTGTTAAAAGAATAGTAGCAAGAATGAAAGGGAAGGTTTACAGGACCGTGGTGAGACCTGCTATGGCAGGGGTGGGCAATTCCAGGCCCCGAGGGCCGGTGTCCTGCAGGTTTTAGATCTCACCTTGGGTCAACACACCTGAATCACATGATTAGTTCGTTACCAGGCCTCTGGAGAACTTCAGGACACGTTGAGGAGCTAATTTAGCCATTTAAATATAGCTGGGTTGGTTCAAGGACACATCTAAAACCTGCAGGACACCGGCCCTTGGGGCCTGGAATTGCCCACCCCTGTGCTATGGTATATTGTTTGGAAATGGTTGCTCTAACAAAAAGACGGGAGGCGGAGTCAAAGGTGCTAGAGTTGAAAATGCTAAGATTGTCTTTCTCTCCTGGTAGAGGATTAGAAATGAGTATCAGAGGAAGAGCTCAAGTTGAGCAGTTTGAATGGAAATTTAGAGAGTCAGGGTTGAGATGGTCTGGACATGCGCAGAAAAGGTATAGTAGATATTTTGCACAGCAGTAGTTGAACATGGAGCTGCCAAGAAGAAGAAAAAGAGGGAGACCACAGAGGAGGTTCATGGATGTAGTGAAGGAGGACATGCAGCAGGTTGTTCTGACAGGAGAGCATGGTAGTGGCTCAAGGGAGATGGAAGCAGATGATTCGCTGCGGCGAACTCGAAAGTGAAGCGCTGAAGGAAAATATGAAGATCCAGCATGAAAAGGGCAGCTTCATCAGCTCTGTTGCATCATAGCAAAAGATTTTGTGGCTAAAAACTCCCAGTCAGCTCGAGTCCTTCTGTGTTCACCTGTTCTTCCTGTGGGTACGCCGACTTCCACCCACAGATTAAATAGCGATTCAAACTTGGCTGTAGGTGTGAATGTGGGAGTCTGTGGTTGTCTGCATGTCGCATCTTACACTGGAATAAGCTCCAGCCACTCCACGACACTAAACAGAGGGATAATGGAGGGATATTTATACGAAAGTAGACAACTCTTGAATCTGTGCTATTTTCTAAAAAGTATAATCTGCAGAAATATAATTGTCATCCATTTCACTTTCTTCCATCACAGGCTTATTTGTGTAGTTACATCATGCATATCTTGCTAATTTCACAGTCTGGCTATTTAGATGGTATTTAAATCGTACACATTCTAGGAAAGAAACTTTGCAGTGGAGCTTTATTGTAATAATAATAACTGAGTATAAATTGCATGCTCATCTTTCCCACCAGAGGAAAACACATGGATGGTGCTCCTGCACAACAACACTGAGCTGACCCGAGTGCGACCGTCTCCGGCTGTGTCCCAGCATTCGGTTCACTTCGACTACTCATCTCAAGAGGAGCAGCTGCTGGCTGCCATCAGCCAGTCAGAGCACTGTGAACAGGAACTGTCCTACCACTGCAGGAAGTCCCGCCTCCTCAACACTTTGGGTAAAGATTTGCTGTTAGTTGCAGTATAACATTATATGTCTTTCTTTATTATTCTGTGGAGGATTATTCTGATGCTGCTCAGCTGGAACAACTGGAAGTGTTACAGTGTAAAAAGCACATAGCTATGAAAATGTTTTTCAACCTGCAAACACTAAACTCTCTTCTGTAGCATTAAGTCTGCCTCTCCTTGGCTCGTTGTTCATTTCCCATTTGCTGCGAGGCAAAACATTTCTTTCCACTTTGATGATGTTCTGTAACATGAGTGCTTGATATTCACTTTGTATTTCCCTCTCTGAAAATAGATACTAGTTTATCAGTTCAGTTTCTGACAGCTTTATCTTAGACAACTTGAATTGCATTGTCTGTTGCTGCTGAAATTTTCTTTATGCACGTTAAACTTCAGTAATTCTCACTATTTAAACATCCTATTTAATCCTCATCCCTGTAATGTTTAAACTGTAGTTAAAATATTGGCGTTGAGGTTTTAACTTGCTTTTTCCTTTGATATGTGTTAAGAAAAAACTGGCAAATAAGACAAAAACTTGCTTTTAATTAATGTGTTTGGGTCAAAAAGGAAAAAAATCAATAAAAACTCGATTAGGCTGACTCTGTTCAGCTGGAGCTCACCACATCATACTCTCAGCCAGAGAACAAACCTATTTCACTCCTTTCTTCAAACTTAGTTTGGTCGCAGGGATTTTCTTGTCTTTCACGAATGATTCAGAAACATTGATTGTTCAGGATTTGTTAAAAACCTCCCCCTTTTGGAATGAGTATTGAGTTGGATTAGTGTTTTCTTTTTCTGTTCATGTGTTTTGTTGTGATTGCATTGACTCAGAGGCGGTGAGTATTAGAAACAGAATTAGAATTACTTTGATCCCTAAGTTGCATTAAATTTGTTTTAGTAGCAGTGGATTCAACAGCTTATCCTTTCAGAGTCCGTGTAAAAGAGCACCCGAACGTTCAGTGTTGAGAAATAAAGAATAACAACATTGATTTAACTTATCAAACGCTGGTCTCACGGCAAATTGTGATGAAATGCGATGCTTGTGAGGGGCAACCCAGCAAACTGATCTTTTTTCTAAAGCTTTCCAAAAAAAACTAAACAAAAAAAGGAGGAAATAAAACAATTAACCCTCTCAGGCTCAAATTAAGTTTTTGTTGCTAATGCACAAAAGAATACCTGCAGTGGTGCTTCTGAGTAAAAACAACTCATAAAATATGTATGTGGGGTAATCAGGTTGTTAGCTTTTAACTGTTGCAAATCTGCAACGCCTGCCTTGAGAGGGTTAAGAAAGAAAATGTAAAATATTGCTCACATGTGGACTTCAAACTTACTTAGAAGAAGTCCTTTGAGTTTTGTCCTTTCAACAACCCAAAAGTGGTCAAGAAATGTCAGCCTGTAGTAACGAAGCCGACTGACCCTCAGAAATGTCTGTCAGGTGTCTCAGCTAACCAGATAAACAGTTTAGTTTTGTCTTTTGATTGCTACCCGTCCAATGCAGATCAGTGGAAGTCTTGAAAGTTTTTATCAACTCAGGACCTATAATGGAGTATATAAGGGAAAGATTTCAGCC